AAATCCAAGCTCCCACCCTTTTTTTTTCTAGACAAGGTCTCATGGTGTGGTTCTGGCTGGCTTGTAACTCAACTCACAGAGATCCACCTGCTTCTGCCTCCTGAATGCTGGAATTAAAGGCTTGAGCCAGAATTCATGTGATTTTGATTGTATGTTAATAAATAAAGTTGCCTGGGGGTCAGAGCTATTAGAGCCATAGCAAGAGTGTGGCGGTGGTGGTGCATGCCTTTAATCCCAGCACTTAGTAGAAGAGCTAGGTAGATCTCTGTGTGTTCAGAGATACAGCCAGCATTGGAGACATATGCCTTTAAGACCTGGGGGGCTGTACATACAGACAGTGACGAGGCACTCACGTGTTTGGGTTTACAACCAATGAGAAGGCAGAACAAAAAGACTATGAAAAGACATACACAGGAAGTAGGTCTCTTTTCGGAAAGCTAGGCCCACCGCAGGAGGAAGGGTGAGATTTTAGCTCTGAGCTCTGACTTCTTGGCTTTCTCTTTTACATTGGTTCTGTGTTTCTTATTTAATAAGACGGTTGGTTACATCTACAGAGGCCAGCTTCTGTGAGTTCAAGAAAACCCTGTCTTGAAGCTCCCTAAACCCCACCCCAATTTTTTTTTTTTACTATTATTTTTATATGACTTAAGCTGATGTGGTGAGTCCTTTGATTGGTGTAGAAAAAGTAACTGAAAATCTTCTGGAAGCAGTGCACCACTTTGCTGTGGAATATTACTTTAACTACATAAAGGAGTTATGTTTGCTTACGCTGCATTTAATTCTGTAAAGATGTGTTGCTGTTTCACTTGCTTGCCTAAGGTACCTGATTGGTCTAATAAAAACCTGAACGGCCAATAGCTAGGAAGGAGATGGATAGTCGGGGCTAGCAGGCAGAGAGAATATATAGGAGGGAAATCTAGGCTCCAGAGAGAAGAGAATGAGGGAGAGAGGGGCACATCTGGGGCCAGAAGCCAGGCAGCTGCCAGCCAGCCACGGAATAGAACATACAAAAAGAAAGGTAAAACGGCCCCAAGACAAAATGTAGATGAAAAGAAACAGGACAGCCTAAGTTAAAAGAGCTAGTGAGACAAGCATAAGATAAGGCCAAACATTCATAAGTAATATTAAGTCTCCATGTCATGATTTGGGAGCTAGTTGGTGGACCAAAAGAAAGCCTGCTACACCACTCTAGATGCCATTAAGAAATTGTGAGATTCTTGGGAGGAGCTAAAACTATTATGAGAATTTGGAAGATTAAATCTAGTCTTCATGTGTCAAATTTGAGGGTTTCAAAACTTCAATGTAGTCAGTAAATGCTGATGTGGTCAAGTAGCAGGGGAGCTAGCAGTGGAGTCTGAGGATTGGACAGCATTTCTACTAATAGATTAGCAAAGAAAGGGATCTCTTTCTTTAAAATTAATTTATACTTATCGCCTCCCATAAGCTCATAGGGAGTGGCACTATTAGTAAGTGTGGCCTTGTTGTAGAAAGTGTGGCCTTGTTGGAGGAAGTGTGCCACTGTGGGGGTGGGCTTTGAGGTCTCATATATGTTCAAGATATGACCAGTGTCTCAGACCACTTCCTGCTGCTTGTGGGACAAGATGTAGGAGACTCAGCTCCTTCTCCAGCACCATCTCTGCCTACTCGTCACCATGTTGCACCATGATGATAATGGACTAAACTTGAGAAATAAGGCACCCCAATCGAATGTTTTTCCTTTGTAAGAGTTGTCATGGTGTCTCTTTACAACAATAGAAACCCTAACCAAGACATAATGATCATAAAGGTGGGTTTTTCAGGGCAAGGTTCATCCATTGTAGTCTGGATGTGCCGAACCCTACGATTTCTCCCAATGTGGAAAATTTGACTATAAAAGTTGTGGCAGTGGGGACTGCATTTGTACTGTCCCTTACAAGAAATAAAATACTTTTAAAATTACATTTATGCATTTTTTTTGGGTGGGGGGAATGGGTGCATCCACATGCCATGGCACACATGTGGCAGTCGGAGGACAACTCACAGGCATCCGTTCTCCTCTTCTACCATGTGGGACATGGGGATCAAACTCAGGCCACCAGGCTTGGTGGCATGAGCCTTTACCTGCTGAACCACCTCACTATCTGTTGTTTAGCAGTTTCTTCCATGATTTGATTTCAAATGGGGCAGTTCATTCAGACACAGGATGTTTACAGGGAGCTGAAACAATAAGATGGAGGTGAAACTCCATCCTGCAGAGAAGTTTATTAATCTCAGGAAGGAAACAACTCAAATAGCCTCAGGAAGTCCCTGAAACCAGTAAGATTCACTAGGCTCCTCCCTCCCCAAATGTGTAGATAAGCAGTAGAGACTACTGAGAGACATTCTTAGACAAGACAAGCTGCCTAGAACAGTGGTTCTCAACTTGTGGGTTGAGACCATCTGAGACACCTCTCAGTAGCAAAATTACAGTTATAAAGTAGCAACAAAAATAAGTGACTGGGGATTCCTTCTTCCTTTTATTTTTTATCTTTAGCCTGGTGTGATTGGACACGGGACAGTCAGGGAATTGAATCCAGGTCATCTGGAACATTAATCAGTGCTCTTAACCACTGAGCCATTTCTCTCCTCTCATGGTTGGGGATTTTGAAGACCATTGGAAATATGTATTTTCTGAGAGTCACAACCCACAGGTTGAGAACTGCTGGCCTAGAAGAATCCCAGACAAGGAACATTGCTTAGAAGAAGCAGAGACCGGCCAAGCTGCCTGGAAGACATTTAGAACAACTGAACTACCTGGAAAGGACATTCTCCAAGCTGTTGAGTGGCCTACAGTCTCTGCAGTGTGCCCCAGGCTTCCAGCTTTTGTGAACTGTCTTCCATGCTGGGGTGGGATTTTGGTAATATAGCTGTCTTTGAGTTATTTCTGGTCCTGCAAATAACCCTAATTAAATTCTGGTGTTCACCAACTTGGACTTTGGTGATATCTTTATTTTGTTTTGCCATGTTCCCCATCTGGTGAGTAGACATTTGTTCATGTCTCTCCCCAGGAATAGTCACACAACATCATCCCAGAAAGTAGTTTCTTAAAATGGAATCTGTTTCTGGTGAAGATGCTACAAACAGTACCAAAATGACAATGAAGGATTCAGAATATTAGATAATCTGTTGTCATTGCTTTTCTTGGTTATTGTGATCAAATATAGGACAAGAGGCAAATTAATGGAGGTAAGGTTTATTTTGGGTACATCTTGGCACGCAAGGCATGGTAGTGGGAGCCACTCTTGGCTGCAGCAGAAATATGAGGCTACTGGCTCATGTCTAAGCAGATCAGGAAGCAGACAGGACAGGAAGCAGGGTTGGGCTATAAATATGAAGGCTTGCTCCACCCCCTCAACCAGCACTTCCTCTAGGTAAGCCCTGCCTTCTCAATGTTCCATAACATCTCAAAACAGCATACTAGCTGGGGACCAAGTGTTCAAACATCTGAACTTGTGGGGAGCATTTTACATCCAAAACTCAACACTTGCTAAAGCAGCAGCAAGGTTCTACTGTGAACAAAACGCTATCAGAGAGCATGGCATGTTACAGGATGGGGGAGGTGGCTCAGCAGGTAAAGGGCTTGCTGGGAAAACATGAGGACCTGGGTTTGGATCCCCACATAGAACACTGAGTCCAACCCAGAATTCCAGGTAAGGACTTCCAGACCCATTCTGCCTACTCACCTGCCTAACAGCCACCCCAAGCACTGTGCTGCCCAGTGTGTATAGAGTTTAACACAGATCTCCATTCCACCAATCTGCCTACTAACCATGATGCTCCATTACTGTATGAAAGATGACCTGGTGCTCTAGGTGTAGATCCCCAGAGCCAGTTTGCTACCATACCTGTATCAAGATACCTTGGGACCATGTGACATGCTGTGTGTCTGACCCAAGGTAAAGACTCCAGTGTGGTCTCTACTCAACCCACCCCCGTTGGAGGAAGTTGTGGCATCTTGTGCCCCACAACCAAAGAACACTGCCCACTTCAAATGTGACCCCACCCCCTGCCACCCAAAGACCACCTGCAGAAGCCAGTGAGCCCTCTACAGACTTGATGATCAGCAGCAAGAACCTTATAAGCCTACAGAAGGGGGCTTCAGAGATGGCTCAGCAGTTAAGAGCACTGGCTGTTCTTCCAGAGGACCAAGGTTCAAGTTCCAGCACTCACATAGTGGCTTACAACCATCTATAACTCCAGTTCTAGGGGATCTGACACCCTCTTCTGGACTCCTCTGGTCTTTCCAGGCACTAGGCATGCACAGACATTTACATGCATGCAAAACACCCATATATCTATATATGGAAGAACATGAGATATTCTTTTACTAATAACAGTTCTCACTATAAAGTACAAAAAAATAAAAATAGATTTGGCATCTTCTGAAAACTTGATCCTTGACTCTCCTCATGCCTCTAGAGCAGCATTACAAAAATGATCTGAAAGGCTGGGATGTAGCTTGGCTAACAGAGACCCAGTCCTGGATTTGAACCATAGCACCACCACATGTAGTGGTGTACACCTGTTATCTGCTTGGGAGGTGGGGAGACCAGGAACTGAAGGCCATTCTTAGTTCCATAGAGGCCAGTCTTGGCTACACAATACCCTTCCTTAAAAAAACAAACAAATGCAGGGCAGTGGTGGCCCATGCCTTTAATCTCATCACTCAGGAGGCAGAGGCAGGAAGATCTCAGTGAGTTTGAGGCCAGTGGGTCTACAAAGTAAATTCCAGGAAAGCCAAGGTTGTTACTAGAGAAACCCTGTCTCAAAAACAAACCAAACCAAAACAACAACAAAAAACCAAAACCAAACCAAAACAAATAACCAGACAAATAAAACAAAAATAACTGGAAAGGGGGAATTAAAAAACATCCAAGAGCCAGGCACGGTTGTGTACTCCTTCAATCCTAGCACTGGGGAGGCAGGTGGATCGCTGTTTGAGGCCAGCTCAGTCTACAGAGTTCCATGACAGCCAAAGAAACTGTCTAGGAAAACCAAAAAAAACCATGCAACAATACAGCTCTGGGTGGTACATTTACAGATATTAATCTGCACTCCATGCTTCTAAATGCTTACTCTTTTAAATGTCTTGGCTGGTAACCAAGTGAAGGGTCTGCAGAGTGACACTGACTAATGGATTAGACTTTTGGTGGCATTGTTCTAGAATAATCAAAGCTAAACTGAACCTCATAAAGTCAAAACAATGGCAGGAAGCATTGGTCTTAGTCAGGAGTCACCAGACGGCCACCTAGTGGCCTCTTTCTAGCCTTAAACATAATGCTGGCCCCTAAACCACGCAGAGGTCAGTGTTTCTAGGGTCAAATTCACAATCCTTTAGCTTAGCATTCAAGGCTTTCTGGCCTAGTCTCAAACTTTTTTTGGTCCTCAGGGCTTTGCTAACAGCAGGCAGGCACTCTATTGCTGAGCTAGACTCTCAGCCTTCAGAACAACTTTTCTTCCTTCCTTCCTTTTTTTTTTGAGATAGAGCCTATCTACATAGTCCTGGCTGTCCTGGAATTCACTATGTAGACTAGGCTGTCCTGAAACTTGAAGAGATTCGCCTGCCTCTGCCTCTCAAGTGCTAGGATTATACAACTGAATCTGCTTAACGGAGAAATTTATTTTTAAGCTTTTCTTCAGCGTACAGTTAAAAGAAGCATGGCTTAATGTCTAGACCAAGTGTATAGTTAAATCAACTTTTCAACAGTACATCTGATGAAATTAGGTATTGAGATATGCTTTAAATATAACTCACACACTAGATTCCAAATAGTGAGAAAAAGAATGTAAAACATTAAATTAGCTGGGTGTTGGTGGCGCACGCCTTTAATTACAGCACTCAGGAGGCAGAGTCAGGCAGATCTCTGTGAGTTCGAGGCCAGCCTGTTCTACAGAGCGAGATCCAGGACAGGCACCAAAACTACACAGAGAAACTGTCTCGAAAAACAAACAAACAAAAAAATTAAACTCTATTTTATATCACATATATTATTGGCACATCTTTAAATAAGACATTAATTTCACATTTTTAATGCAACTACTATAAAATTATACGTAGCTTATATTTCTACCTGATGGTGGTAGCTTAGGCAACCATACTCAAAGCTTAGATACTGCTATTGATTCTTCTCCCCCTCACACTTAATGACTTGATGTCTATTAGCGGCTGTTTTTGGATCCATCTACTTTCTCCATCTCTACTGCCATGGCCACGCCACTCTTCAGCTATCAATGACCTCATCTTCCCAAAGCGGCAGTTATTTCCCACCACCATCCTTTGCTCCCGTCTACTTCAGCCACCTTGACCTCCTTTCTGACCTCCCATCCCACCGATTTCACAAACTGCCCTAACTTCTTCCCAGTCAGGGCCTAGCTCAGACCAAACCACAGGTGAGGCCACCTCTGACCAAGTGCCAGTATTTAGTCTGCTTTCTCACTTGGAGAACTACTTTATCCAGGTAGACCCCCCGCCCCTTTCTTTTGTGAAACTATTACGGGACATTATCTCTCTTTGTTTTAAATCTCTAGTCTTTCTTCCCTTCATGCTCTTTGTTGCTACTTTTATCTTTTCTAGCACACAGAACAGTACCAGGCAGAGCGGGCGCTCCAACAACTGCTGAATGAATACAGCTGAATGATTCGACAGGCTCAGCTTTACGTGGTCAAAGAGGTGTCGCCTTTCCCAGCACACATTCCTCTCTGCTTCTACTCCCAGTGAACACATTACCATCCTTCAGGCACTCCTGACACACTGGACAGTCACACAGACATCTCTTTCAGACAGTCTCTCATCCAGTCGAGCAAATTCTCCAAACTCTCAACAAGCAGTTGTGATTTTCTTCATTTCTACTTGTGACTACCTCAACCCAAGTCATTATGGCCTTCCAAATTAC